ACCGCTGCCATACCCTCCCCGTCAATCCGCGCTTCGCGCTCTCTGCTCTCCCCGTCGTCACTTCCGGCGCGCAGGCGCAGCGCGGCGCAGCTCCCGGCCGCCATTTCGCCCGCCGCAGTCGGTGCCGCCGCTCCCGCTCCCTCGCAGCGCCATGCCCGCGGGACCCGTGCAGGCCATGGCGCCTGCGCAGCCAGCGCCGCCCGCCGACAGCAAACCGGTGCGAGCCACGGGAGGGGGGGGTGGTACGGGGCAGGCCGCGCTGGGGGCGGGCAGGCGGACGGTTCGTACCGGGACTGCTCGCGGTTCTCGCACGGACCCGCCTGTGGGTGGTCGCGGGGTAGGCCCGAGCCCCCCCTGCGGACCCAGGCGGTGGTTGCGGGTCTGTGGTGAGCTGTGGGCGGGGGAAGAGCGTCCGAATGGCTCGCACCCCTCCCGCCCCCCTGTGCTTCCCGGCCTGGCCCCGCTCTCGGCGCCGTTCACTTCAGCAAGAGGCTTTTCCCGGCTGTCCCGGAGTGGGAGCTGGGCTCCCATGGGCAGGGGCTGCTGCGCTGGCCGGGTTTGACACCACAGCGTCAGCGCCGGGACCCGAGCCGATGGCAGATCCTAATGCACACGAGGAAAACCGTGGCTCCCGCAGATAAAAGCCAGCGGGTTCCCTGCGCCCGCGGGCAGCTCAGCGTGGTGCTGAAGTGAAAACAGCTCCCAGCGTGGTGCTGCCTTATCCTGCTCCTCCAGGTGGTGTTCAGAGCAAGTGGGGATGTGAATTGCAGCTCCTTATGGCACGTTTCACCTGGCGCTCTCGGTTAAGGTTGTATTTGACTCGTTCTGCCTTGGAGCCAGGGGCATTGTGCAGAGCCAGTGGCTTGACTGGAATGTGAACACTTCCCTGTTAAGGGTATAAACGTTTCCCGTAGACCTGTTCTCTTGTAACAGCTTTTCCTGTGGAAGTCACTTGGTGAGGAAGGGGGAGGAACGTCAGTGTCCTGCAGAGAGCTGCTGCTCTGCAGGAGGACAGAGCCGTCTGCAGGGAGGGTTCTGGCATCCTCATTTGGATCCTCATGGAATTACCCTGAGAACAATGCCCTGCAGAGCTCTTCTCTATGAACCAGCTTTTGTTGCAGCTGCCGTGGGATGAAAAGCTGTGCTCGGTTTAATGAGGGCTGATCATTCAGGTTCTAGTTTCTTGTGGTCCCCCAGGCCTCTGGGAGCATTCCAAGCTTCCCAGCCTGTACAGCAGTGCTCAGTTATTCCCACATGGAGTGCTCCAGGTGTTCCTCTTTGCTTGGCATTCCTAAAGCTACGTGGGGTCAAGGCTGGGATAGGAAGAGCACTGGGAGCACTTGTTTTGGTTGCATGGAGGGGCCTGACCTTCCTCCCAAGCCCCTTGTGGTGCCCTGGGTAAGCAGCCACGTTGTCACCCACCCTGAGCAGCTGAGGGGAGCCTGTGGGATGGGATTGTTAAACCAGAGCCTTGTGTTGGGAAGAACTCCGGGATCCGGGAGCTAAGGAGAGCAGTGGCCTCGGGAGCTGTTTGCTTGGAATACCTCATTCTGACCTGGTGTTCCCTGAGCAGGGGGATGCAGAACAGGAAAGAACTTCCTAACGTCACATCTCAGTCTCTCTTCTGGCAGTTAAGCTGTGTTAGGATTGTTACTCCCAGTGAAGTTGGGAAGCAATGGAGATCAACCACTTGGCAATAGGGATTCCAGCGCTCCAGGCTCATTTCAGCCCCTGGTGCTGGTACACACACGTTGCTCACTAGTATTTGAAGTTCCTTCTCTTGTTTTCAGCTTTGATTGCACAGGTTTTTTGATTTGAGGTTGTCTGAATTTAGCATCCTCACTGGTTGCAAGCACCACGAAGATGTTTTCCTGTGGCCCTGCTCTTCCCTTTGGCTCGTTGCTGGAGTTGGGAGGCATCAGTGTGTTACCAACATTATCCATACTAAATCCAAGGCTCAGCTGTGTGCCAGCTCCTATGCAGAGCACCAGATAAATGTGTGTTTATTGGTTTTTCTTACAGCCAGAAGAGGAGCCGAAAGAGGAAGCAGCCCCAGCCAAGCCTGTGGTTGGAATTATTTACCCTCCTCCAGAAGTCAGGAATATTGTGGACAAGACTGCCAGCTTCGTAGCCAGGTAATGGACACTGCTGTTGGCTCACAATTCCAGGGATTTTCCTGCTTTTCCTCTTTGGTGTTAATGGCTGTGCAGCTCTGGAAGCTGAAGGAGGTCCCAGTCCTGTAGCGAGGCTCCTCGCTTGTGTGGTGAGCCCCAGGTTAAATCCCACCCCTGTTTGTGCTCAGCTCCGTGAGCCCCATCTCACCCTGCCCTGAGAGCCAGGGGGAGAGAGGCTCCTCCAGGGAATGTCTGATCCTCCCCTAGGACAGGATCTCCTGTGATGTGTGGATACCAGCAGAGTGGTGGGTGGGAGTGGATCTGAAATGTAGGGAGGAGTCTAAAAGCTGGATAAATTTGACTCGTGGGCTTCTTCCATTTGCTGACTGGCATCATTCCTAGAATCCCAGCCTGGTTTGGGTTGGAAGGGACCTTAAAGCTCCTCCAGCTCCAACCCCTGCCACGAGCAGGGACCCCTTCCACTAGAGCAGCTTGCTCCAAGCCCCTGTGTCCAACCTGGCCCTGAACACTGCCAGGGATGGGGCAGCCACAGCTTCTCTGGGCACCCTGTGCCAGCGCCTCAGCACCCTCACAGGGAAGAGCTTCTGCCTCAGAGCTCAGCTCAGTCTCCCCTCGGGCAGGTTAAAGCCATTCCCCTTGGCCTGTCCCTACATCCCTTGTCCCAGGCCCCTCTCCAGGTTTCCTGCAGCCCTTTTAGGCACTGGAGCTGCATTCAGGTCTCCCCTTCAGGAGCCTTCTCTTCTCCAGGCTGACCCAGCCCAGCTCTCAGCCTGGCTCCAGAGCAGAGCTGCTCCAGCCCTCGCAGCAGCTCTGTTATCTGATTTCAGTCTTATCAACGCATGAGGTCTTAGGCGGTTTGATCCTGGTCCTGCTGCAGCACGTGGGTACCACAGGAGGTGCCACCCCTCAGCTGGCTCATTCTTAACCTCCATGGCATCCAGCAGCCGCCCACTGTGCTGTCACCTCACTGGAAAGGGCCACTCGTCTCTCTGGGTTTAAGGGAGTTACTGGCTGCTGCTCTGGACAAAAGCACTTATTGTGTAACTGATCTCTGAGTGCTGCCAGGGAGCCATGGCTTTCTGTGAGGGTGTGGAAGGGGCTGTTTATCCTTTAGTAGTGTAGAGACCTCCTCTTCTGGAAGGGGTGGAGTGTCCAAACAAGACTCGGAGGTAACCAGAGGATGTGAAGAGAAACATGCTCTGCCTCAAGTGCCCCCAGATACATGGATGAGAGGAATGGATGGTACCTCAGCTTAGGGCTCTGTGAGTGCAACCCTGCCATGCTCACCCTCTGCACAAGCTGCTCCTTACCTACTTTTTTCCTTATATGAACTTTCTGGAAGTGAAACTGGTCCCAAAAGCTTGTGAGTAGAGCAAATCGGTCAGGAAGTAACTTATAAACTGTCAGTGCAGTAAATGCCCTTTTGTTTGTCTGTGGCCGGATGGGCTTGTGGAACACTGCCGAGGTTTGAACTGTCTGAAGAAACATTCACTGTGAAGTGTTCAGACTAAATCAGGACAAGTGCCTTTAACTTGTGTGTGCGGAGCTGTTGGGTGTGAGTTACTGAGAGGTGAACTCCTTCCATGGAGGAGAGGAAATTGTCCCGTGAGGGGCTGATGCATCAACACATCTTACTGCAAAAGAAAGAGACCTTTACCCGGGAGTTGATGCCTGTTCACCTGAACACTTCCTCTGTTTCCTCCCCAGAAATGGGCCAGAGTTTGAAGCTCGAATTCGCCAGAATGAGATAAACAACCCCAAGTTCAATTTCCTGAACCCCAACGATCCCTACCATGCCTACTACCGGCACAAAGTCAGCGAGTTCAAAGAGGGCAAAGCCCAGGAGCCCTCGGCTGCTATTCCCAAGGTCATGCAGCAGCAGCAGACTGCCCAGCAGCAGCTGCCACAGAAGGTAAGTGTCCCTTTCACTCGGGCACAGAACTTGGTTTCTCCCTGGTGACCCACAGCGTGATGTGAAGCAGGAGGTCTGGAGCACGAGGAGCTGGTTACACATCTGCAAGAAAGCCAGCAGTGATCCCTTGGCGTTCAGTGTCTGGGACTTGGTTTGCTGCAGATGGGCATCCCTCAGTTGCTTTGAACTCAAAGTTGGGTGGGGAAGAACCAATTTATTGTTCTACTTGGTCCTTTTTAATGACAAATATGTGTTGATTGACATGGTGCCTACACCAGTGATCACTCAGATTGGGTGGATTTAGAACTGCTATAAGCAAGTCTTTAGAGTCTTGGAGTTCAGTTTGGGCTTGTCTTGTAGAAACATTTCCTTTTTTCCTGCCAGAGGGATCAACTTCCTCTTAAAATGTGGGATGCAGAGTGTTGCTAGTCTTGCCTAGCTGTGCCTTTTCCATACTGGCTGGAACAAGGGCACTGGCTGAATGTCTTCCACATGCACTGCACACCCAGCAGTCATGCTGTGTGGCATTGCCCATCCTGCAGGATTACAACAACATCCTGACAGCTTCCAGCTTTGTTAGCTGGTGGAGCAATGCTTGTTTTCACAGTAGGCCCAAACCCAGATGTCCAGATGGCACCCTCTGGTACCAGCTTTCCTCCTCCTTGCAGCTGCCAGCATCTCTGGTGCTGTTTTCCCGCAACAGCTGAAAGCAAAAGGGGTTCTCCAAGTGTTTGGTGATGGTTTCCTGAGGGCAGTGCCTGAGCTATGTCCTTGTGCTCTGCAGGTGCAGGCCCAGGTGATCCAGGAGACAGTGGTTCCCAAAGAGCCTCCTCCAGAGTTCGAGTTCATTGCGGATCCTCCCTCCATCTCCGCCTTCGACCTGGATGTGGTGAAGCTGACGGCGCAGTTCGTGGCGCGCAATGGGCGGCAGTTCCTCACGCAGCTGATGCAGAAGGAGCAGAGGAACTACCAGTTTGATTTCCTTCGCCCCCAGCACAGCCTCTTCAACTACTTCACGAAGCTGGTGGAGCAGTACACCAAGGTACCCTGGCAGCTCACCCACCAGGTTCAGCGCTCGGCAGCAGTGCTGGGTTCTGGAGGCTACTGAAGTGCTGCAAAGCAGCCACACTGGGAACATCTGTAGGTTCATGAGGGTGCTGAGGCGCTGGCACAGGGTGCCCAGAGAAGCTGTGGCTGCCCCATCCCTGGCAGTGTTCAAGGCCAGGTTGGACACAGGGGCTTGGAGCAAGCTGCTCCAGTGTAAGGTGTCCCTGTCCATGGCTGGGGTTGGAACTGAATGAGCTTTAAGGTCCCTTCCAACCCAAACCAGGCTGGGATTCTATGGGTCTGTCCTTTAAATCCCACTGTAAGTAGAGTGGATATCTCGTATCGTTGGCAGTGTGTGGTGCTGAACACGGTGGGCTGTTACTTAAATGTACCAGCCACTACTGAAATATAAGAGCTGAAATACCAGCCACTACTGAAATACAAGGTTTGTAAGTATAGAGCATAGCTGGAAAGCCAGGAGGGAGTATTTTCAAGTGCAAGCAGGAGGGGTAGGTAATAAGAGGGTTGCAGTAGAATATGTGGAATGTAGCACCAGGGATCTGCTGGTGTGAGGAAAGAGAATAATTGCTTTTAAGGAGGCTCTGGCAAAAAGAATTGTCACCCATTGTCCTGTGTCATGTGTTTCAGATCCTGATCCCACCCAAAGGTTTGCTCCTCAAACTCAAGAAGGAGGCTGAAAATCCCAAGGAAGTCCTTGATCAGGTAATGCCTGGGAAACGTACAGAAGCGTTTCAGTGATGTTTTGAGTGTTTCACCTTCGTGTGTTTCTGGTTTATTGACAGCAAACACAAATACACAGGCAATAAAACTTGTGTTTCCTCTGCAGCCGCTTGAACACAGGGTACTGCAGTTGTGTTTACTGGCTACCATTGGTGCCAGGGGTGGCAGCAGAGGCTTAGGAACTGCATGAAACTTTTTAGAGGAGAATATTTCACTCTCAGGCAACTTCACTGTGACCTCTCAGTCACTTGGAGTCCTTCCAGGTTGTTCTTTATTACTTTGACTTCTGTCTTCATCACGCTGAGGCTTTTCCTTCGAAAAGGTGGAATTACAGGGTTGTAACTGTCCTTTGTTGTGCCAGGCCTCTGGAATACTGCCTGTGTAACTGCCCTGAAAGGGTTGGTAGTGCGAGCCTTTAGGTGCTATAGAGGTGACTGTGTTGTGTCTCTTGTCTGACATTCGGTGTGTGCTTTGCTTGTGCAGGTGTATTACAGAGTGGAGTGGGCAAAGTTCCAGGAGAGAGAGAGAAAGAAGGAAGAGGAGGAGAAAGAAAAGGAGCGTGTGGCTTATGCCCAGATTGACTGGCATGACTTTGTGGTGGTGGAAACAGTTGACTTTCAACCCAGTGAGCAAGGTACTGAAGCCCTGTAACCTCTGTGAAGCTCTGCTCTCTTTGAGCGGGCGCTGTGTCCTGAAGTGCTGGTTTTATCAGACTTCGGGGTTTACAGACGTGGGGCAAGCCTTCTAGTGACACCAGGGCTGGGGTTGTCTCTGGAGTCATTAATGTTCCCCTTGAGCTAGGTCCAGGACTGCACTAGTGTCCACTTTGCCACTTCCACCAGGACAGCAGAACTTGTTTCACTTTCTGGCAGCATTTTCACCTGTCAGGGAATCCCAGCCTGGTTTGAAGGGACCTTAAAGGACCTTCAGTTCCACCCCCCTGCCACGGGCAGGGACCCCTTCCACTAGAGCAGCTTGCTCCAAGCCCCTGTGTCCAACCTGGCCTTGAACACTGCCAGGGACGGGGCAGCCACAGCTTCTCTGGGCACCCTGTGCCAGCGCCTCAGCACCCTCACAGGGAAGAGCTTCTGCCTAAGAGCTCAGCTCAGTCTCCCCTCTGGCAGGTTAAAGCCATTCCCCTTGTTCTATCCCTACATCCCTTGTCCCAAGCCCCTCTCCAGCTTTCCTGCAGCCCCTTTAGGCACTGGAGCTGCTCTAACGTCTCCCCAGAGCCTTCTCTTCCTAAGTACTTCTTAAATTCTACCTATAAGTACCTTCATCTTCATGTGTCATGCTGATGTTGGTCTGGATAGGCTCCATCCTTTTGCTTTTATGTACCTTGGCTCCAAGGAGATATTTGATGCCACTGCTGCATAAAGAAACTGCTTTTCATTCAGGAGGTTCATACTTGTCTGTGCATGGAGCAGTGAAGTGGGATAGGGAAACAGGAGCTCTGTTTTCTGCATTGTAGGGAATTTCCCTCCTCCCACCACTCCAGAAGAGCTGGGAGCTCGGATCCTGATCCAGGAGCGTTATGAGAAGTTTGGGGAAAGTGAGGAGGTGGAGATGGAGGTGGAGTCAGATGAGGAAGATGAAAAGCAAGAGAAAACAGATGAGCCGCCAGCCCAGCTGGATCAAGACACACAAGTGCAGGATATGGATGAGGTAAGTACCCAACAGACCCATTACTTTCATCCCATGAAGTTTGTGTGCTCCTTGGTGCCTTTTCACTGTAAGAAGTTCCTCAGTTCCTAGAGGAAATGAGATTTCTTTCTGATGGAACTTCAGACCAACCCGTTTCTGTTGGAATGTGCTATTTTTGATGTTTCCATGAACAATATAATTTCTCCAAGAGAGAAATGCAGTGTTGCTGTCACCTCATGGTGTGTTTTTTATCTTCCTGTGAGCAGGCCTTTGGGCCACGCTCTGCAGAGTCTGGAATGCTGAAAGATGACTCACTTTAGACTCTTCCTCCACCCACTGTTTAAGCTGTTTTGTGGTCACAAGGAACAAGAGCAGGGCTAACCATAAGCCCCTGCTTACTGTGGTCTTTAATGTGGAAGCTGAGGGTTCTTGCTTCCTCTTCTGGGTCTGCTGAACTGGGATTTATCCAGAGGAACCACTGTGGGTGTCAGAGGCAGAGAAGCTCTGTCTCTTTGCAGCTGCAGCATCAGCTCTTCCAGCGCTGCACGAGATGTTTATGCCTTTCCCAAATGTTGTCTGTGGGTATTTGACTGCTGGAACTTGGTTGTCATTTTTGGGTTTGGTTTAAATAAGGGCTCAGATGATGAAGATGAAGGTCAGAAGGTTCCTCCTCCTCCAGAAACCCCGATGCCGCCGCCTCTTCCTCCCACACCAGACCAGGTCATCGTGAGGAAGGATTACGATCCCAAAGGTAGGTCAGGCTGGTGGGGATCACTGACCACAAAAGCATTTGTTTCCAGGCTGCTTCAACGCTGTGCTCTTCTTTTCCAGCCTCCAAGCCGTTACCACCCGCCCCAGCTCCAGACGAGTATCTTGTTTCCCCCATCACTGGAGAGAAGATTCCTGCCAGTAAAATGCAGGAGCACATGAGGATTGGCCTCCTGGATCCTCGGTGGCTTGAGCAGCGCGACCGCTCCATCCGGGAAAAGCAGAGTGATGATGAGGTCTATGCCCCAGGTCAGCTTCAGGGAGAGCTGTGGTTTGCAAACCCCAGCTCCTGGATGAGTTCTGTGCACTCCTAGCACACCCCATCTCTCCCCTAGCTCTCTCTGATATCAAAGACCCATCTTAAATGTGGCTTTCTGCTTTCCTCAGCGTGCTGATTCTGGGGCTACATTTGTCTTCAGTACATGAAAGCCTTTCTGTGAAGTTAAAGGCAAAGAGCATAGGTGGCTGCTGAGCAGCAGTTGCAGTCTCCTAAAGAGACTGCCATTAGGTACCATAAAGATCATGGGCAGAAGCTTGATCACATTTGATTCTGTCACTTGAGATAAGAACTTCTCTTGCTGCTTGCAGGTTTGGACATTGAAAGCAGCCTGAAGCAGCTGGCAGAGCGCCGTACTGATATCTTTGGTGTAGAAGAGACTGCCATTGGTAAAAAGATTGGTGAAGAGGAAATCCAGAAACCAGAGGAAAAGGTAGAGTGGTCATTAGTGTTGGTTTGTTTTTAGCAGGTTCCTGGAGTATTCTGTATGCTCAGAGACACGCAAGTCTTTCAGCCTGTGTTCTTGCTGTCAAGACTGCTCTCTTGATGTCTTTGCAGCTCATGTTGCAGTCTGGACAGGCTGAGGTTAGGCTTATTCTGATGTATTTTATCCTCTCAGGTGACCTGGGATGGCCACTCAGGCAGCATGGCCCGCACACAACAGGCTGCTCAGGCCAATATCACCCTCCAAGAGCAGATTGAAGCGATCCATAAGGCCAAGGGACTGGTGCCAGAAGATGACAGCAAGGAGAAGATTGGGCCCAGCAAACCCAATGAGATACCCCAGCCACCCCCTCCTTCATCAGCATCAAATCCCCCTGCTAGTGCTCAGCCCATCACATCTGTGCCTCGTCCCCCCACAGTGAGTATTTGGGCTTCCAAAGGCCACAGTTAGAAGGGAGTCCTGATGAAGTTTAAGGGTTATAACAGCAGGTTATAAACAGGCCTAGGGACAGTTTAAGATTCATTTGGAAACATCAGAGTGTTGAACTTGCTGTTAGAAATGGGAAACAAGATTCGGGTGGAGTGGTTTGTCCGTAGAGGCATCAGAAAGATGTGAGCAGCTGGGCAGGGGAAGAGCCTGGGTGGTGAAGTCTGGGAGGCAGAGAGTGTGGCTGACACAGGGAGGGTGGGGGCCTGTCTTGGGTGTAAACAGGCAGGATGTAGAACCAAAGGAGCTGCAGGTAAGAGCTACTCCGGGTGACTCCCTGCCCCAGGTGCTCTGCTCCCTCACTGATAAGTGGCACCCAGGGTGCTGAGGGAAGGAGGAACCATCTCCTTTGTTAATGAGGCTCCTGAGCCTTTCACAGGCAGCTTGGGCCTGAGGTTCCCAGCAAGCATTAGGCCTGCAGAAATCCATATTATTTTAGCCAGGATTGGGAACAGCCCCCAGCATTCCTGCGTGTTCTGTGTGCACTTCTGGTGTCCTCAACATAAGAAGGATGTGGAGCTGTTGGAGAAAGTCCGGAGGAGGCCACGAGGATGAGCAGGGGCTGAAGCACCTCCTGTATGGAGCCAGGCTGAGAGCACTGGGGCTGTTCAGCCTGGAGAGGAGAAGCTGTGTGGAGACCTCAGAGCAGCTTCCAGTGTCTGAAGGGGGCTGCAAGGATGCTGGAGAGGGACTCTTCATCAGGGACTGGAGTGACAGGACAAGGGGTGATGGGTTCAGACTGAAATGGGAAGTTCAGGTTAGCTATAAGGCAGAAGCTCTTCCCTGTGAGGGTGCTGAGGCGCTGGCACAGGGTGCCCAGAGAAGCTGCAGCTGCCCCATCCCTGGCAGTGTTCAAGGCCAGGTTGGACATGGGCTTGGAGCAAGCTGCTCTAGTGGAAGGTGTCCCTGCCCGTGGCAGGGGTTGGAACTGGATGATCTTAAGGTCCTTTCCAGCCTATCCCATTCTGTGTTGCTGCTAATGAAGTGACCCTGTCTCCCTGCAGATGCCCCCTCCTGTGCGTGCTGCTGTGGTTTCTGCAGTCCCTGTCATGCCTCGGCCCCCAATGACATCTGTGGTCCGTTTGCCTCCGGGATCTGTCATCGCCACCCCGATGCCCCCCATCATCCACACCCCACGCATCAACGTGGTGCCCATGCCCCCCTCTGCTCCCCCCATCATGAGCCCCCGCCCGCCCCCCATGATCGTGCCAACAGGTAAGCTCAGTGTGTGCTGCTTCAGCAGCAGCTCAGTCCTGGCCAGCACAGGCTTGAGCTTCGTTCTGTGCCTTTGGTGCCTGGGATGAGAGGTGTAGGTGGCACTGCAGGCCCCAACCCCCATCAGTGAGAGTTTGGGGGTGTTTGGTGTGACCTGTTTCACAGCAACTGCTGCAGGGCTCCAAGCTCCTCCTGCCACTTGACAGTGAATTGGGGGTCACTGGTTGGTGGCTGTGTCCCCACGAGCCTGCCCCGGGGAAGGGGAAGCACCCCAAAGGCCCTGGGCTGAAGAGGATGTGCCAGCACCTTGCTGGGTGCTGCAGCTCCTTGCAGAAGCTGCTGCAGCTGGGAGGAAGAGCTGTTACCTGGCCCCTTTCCTCATGGCATTGGGTGTTCCAGAGTTGCAAAGCACAATGGAAAAGGCAATTCTTCCCTTTCCCCTTCTTTTTCCGCTTTAAAGCGAGGTGCTGGCACTGCTGTCTGCCCAGCTCGGAGCCTTTGCTCTTCTGCAGGATCTGCAGGAAGCTCTTTGGCTGCTTGTTGTCTCTTCCTGGCCTGTTTCCCTCTATGAAAGTTCTGATGTTTGAAGTTTGCATGTTGCTGTTGGTTGTGTGACCTTCCTCCATGCACCCTCCTGGTTATTTTCAGCCCTTGCTGGTTGCTCAGAGAGCTTCTGTGTGAGGGGTGCCTGCTGTGTCTCAATGCTGACTGCATGTTGTGTCGTGTCCCTCTGCCCCCTTCCAGCCTTTGTTCCTGCTCCTCCCGTGGCTCCGGTTCCCTCCCCGGCACCGATGCCTCCTGTGCACCCTCCTCCACCCATGGAGGATGAGCCGGTCTCGAAGAAGCTGAAGAGTGAGGACAGCCTCATCCCAGAGGAGGAGTTCCTGCGCAGGAACAAGGTACGGGTGTGTATGGCTGCTCACAGAGAAGCACCAGAGAGTGCTGACACCCTGGGCTCTGCAGCCCCACAGGGATGTGAAGCCAGTTCACTGCACGGAGAGGAGCTGGTGTGCACGAGGGAGTGACCTCCTGAGGTGCTGGCATTCCCAAACTGCTGTGTGCCTGGCTGGGAAGAGTGATGCAGCACTCCAGCAGTGTGTGGGGATGGTGCCCTTCTGCACTTGAGGGCAGGGAGAGGTGGGTTTATGGTAATGCAAAGAAGAGCTAAAGGTGCTTATAAGGCTTTAAGAACTGCTGAGCTGGAGGTGGAAGGAGATTCAATATCTCAGTGTCAGCATGACTGTGGTGATGTGAGTATTCCATAACAACACGGGCTGGGTGTTACACTGAACCTTCTCCTGAGGGCTGCCATCAGCATGCACTGTCGTGAGTCCTTCAGGAGGGCTGTGAGTGCCTATGGTGCCTGAGGAGAGGGAGGCATGAGAGAAATCCAGCTGAATGCTTTGTTTTGGAAGCAGTGAAGGCTTTTTCCCATCATTGAGGCTTATGTTTACTGGGAGCTGAAGATAGTGCCTGGTCTTGGGAGCAAACACCGTGCCTGGTGCTCGGTTATCGCGGTACAGAGCCTCCTCACCTTGAGACATTATCTGTGTTTCCTCCAGGGCCCTGTCACGGTCAAAGTCCAGGTTCCCAACATGCAGGACAAGACTGAATGGAAGCTGAACGGCCAAGTGCTGGTGTTCACCCTGCCCCTCTCGGACCAGGCATGTAGCACATGGACCTGGCTGCCCCCTTCCTCCCTGTGCTCTGAGCCTCTTGCCTTGGGGAGCAGCGTCTGACCTGATGGTGGGAGCTGTAAACCTCGGGATGCTCCCCAGGCTGTATCCTCCCGTGAGGGGGTGTGTGTGGGGAGCAGTGGGTACACCCATGCAACAGGGAAAACCCCCTGAACAAGCTCTTTGCTTCTCCCCAGGTGTCTGTTATAAAGGTGAAGATCCACGAGGCCACGGGGATGCCGGCTGGGAAGCAGAAGCTGCAGTATGAGGTGGGTTGAAGCCCTTGGGATGCTGCTTGTTATGGCAGTGCTTTCTCACACACAAACTGACTTTTATCAGAGGAAGTTGGTAATGCACCTACTGGGGTGCTGCAGGGAGCAGAGGGAATGATGTTCCTGGCTGTGCAGCACCTTCGAATACAGAACTGCACAGCAGGACTAGCTTTGAATAGGTGGCATCAGTGGACTGTTGAGTTGTTGCTGCAGCAGATGAATCCTCTGGGCTTGGTGCCTTTCTCTGAAGTCAGCCTCTTCTTTTACTGGGCAAGTTGGCAGTTCAGTGTGTCAGTCTCCTCTTGCAGGCCTGTTGTATGTGCTTGGGAAGGTGGATGAGAGTAACTTGGAAGCCCTGAGAAGGCCTCCTCTGGCCTCACTCCAGCAGCTCCACGTCCCTCTTGTGTTGCTGCCCCAGAGGTGGACACAGGACTGCAGGGGGGGTCTTGTTTCCAGTCATGCACAGGCACAACCTGCTGCCTGAGCACTGAACTTTGTACGCTTGGGTGTTCATCTGTGGGCAGATGTGTTAACCCTTGGTGAGAAAGGAAGCTTGGAAGCATTCAAGGCCAGGTTGGACACAAGGGCTTGGAGCAAGCTGCTCTAGTGGAAGGTGTCCCTGCCAGTGGCAGGGGTTGGAGCTGGAGGAACTTTAAGTTCCCTTCAACCCAAACCAGGCTGGGATTCTGTGCATCTACATAACTTCACTTGTGATGGTGACTCTGTGTGTGTGTGTGTGTGAAGGTATCTGGTGTGTATTGTCAGTTCCTGTATCCCCACCTCCTCCAGTGCCCCTCTTCCAAGACACTGGGATCTGTCCTGGTTTTTCCAAAGCCTGCATTGTTCTGTCACCCCCTGTGCTGTCACCATGGCTGGGAGGGCTTTGGCTCTGGGCTTTTGTGGGAAGGCAGCAGTAAGAGTTCTTCTTTGACTTTTTTTTTTTCTCCTCTCCTCAGGGCATCTTCATCAAGGACTCGAACTCTCTGGCCTATTACAACATGACCAGTGGCTCCCTCATCCACCTGGCCCTCAAAGAGAGAGGAGGCAGAAAGAAATAGGAGCCATGGAGCCTAGAGGCATAAAGTGGCTGCGTTGCCACTTGCATAATCCCAACCCTTTGAGTCTTCCAGTCTTTTAGGGGCTATTCCCACTGCTCTAGTTTGATGAGACAGATGCTGAACCCTGTGTTTGGGGGAGAGGGGAAGATAAAGGGCTCTGAAATGTGTAAATGGACTGACCTGGTCCGTTAGGTTTTCAAGATTTGCTTGAATTCCTTCTTGAAGCAACATTGAGATGGTGCCCAGCTCAGTACATCCATCTTTGAGGGATTTACACTGACCGTCATCTGTCTGAGTGCTGCTTGCTGCTTCACTTCACCTTTTCCTGACAGCTTCTTCCTTCTCAACACAGTTGCCAAGCCCCTTGTTCTTTCCCTGTCTTGGATCCCTCTGCAAGAGCCTCTCAGATTAACCCTGACTTGGAAACTTGCCCTCCCTGAGCAGGAGTGTTTGGGTCTGTGTGTGTTAAACAGCTTCGTGCTGCTTCTGTAGAGCCTCCAGTTTGTTTTAATAAACACCTCTTGGTGCAGGCGTCTGTGCTGCTGTGGTGCCTCGGGGTTTGGTGGCGTGAATGGAGCTGTGCCTGGCTTCACAGCACTTGCAGGGGCTGCATGGATGTACATTGGGGTTTGTCACTTACTGTAGGAAATCCTTGTGTTTTCCAGGAAAGGCTGCAAGACGGGTTTGGTTAAAAGTCCCCCGGTGATCCGGAGTTACTCCTCAATGTAAAGCACAAATGGGACGTGGAGCTGTTTGAGTGAGTCCAGAGGAGGCCACGGAGCTGCTGTGAGGGCTGGAGCAGCTCTGCTCTGGAGCCAAGCTGAGAGAGCTGGGCTGGGTCAGCCTGGAGAAGAGAAGGCTCCTGAAGGGGAGACCTGAGAGCAGCTCCAGTGCCTGAAGGGGCTGCAGGAAAGCTGGAGAGGGGCTTGGGACAAGGGATGTAGGGACAGGCCAAGGGGAATGGCTTTAACCTGCCCGAGGGGAGACTGAGATGAGCTCTTAGGCAGAAGCTCTTCCCTGTGAGGATGCTGAGGCTCTGGCACTCTCTTTCTGTGATGCTGTGATTTATGCTTTAGGTGTAAACATAATGCACACAAATGCTGCTGTCTGTGTGTGTGGGCAGAAAGACTGCTCTGAATTTAGAGTTTGATTGGAAAAGGGGGTTTGTGCTTCGTGTTGTGCAGCTGCCACCTTGGGCTTGTGGAGATCCTGTTCTGTGCTTCTGTCAGAGCTGTGCTGCAGGCTGATCCACAGACACAGCACACAAGTTAATGGACAGGTACTGCAGGAGCGGCTGTTGTCGGTGGTGTGGGTGCCTCTCTTCTCCTCTTGGGATAATTCAAAACCACGGATTTGTTATTATTCTTAGTGGTGGTCAGGCACTACCACAACATCCTCATTGCCTTACTGCCTGCTAAGGGGAGAGGGATGCACCAGCCTTCTCTGCCCTGGTGTGCTCCTCTGGCCTGGGAGCAAGTCCTTCTGCCCTGGGGAACGTGCCTCGTGCTGGCCTTGGTCCCCTGGCTGTGGTGAACCCGTGTCAGCATCCTGCCATTGGGAATGTGCTCCTGCCCCACAGCAAAGGTGTGCAATGGCCTTGCTTTGCTTTAAAACACGAGATGGTCGGTGCAAACCGGTGCTAATGTAAAACCAAACTGCAGGAAAGCTCTCAAATGGAGAAGTGGTGTTGGACATCCGGCGTGGGGCTGGGCTTGCAGTCACCCAGCTTTGCTCCTCCAGCTGTGCCTGGTGGGGCTAAGTGCTTTGATGCTCCCTGATCCCACATGTATGTGATCCCATGTATGTGATCCCATGTGTGTCTTTGCCACTGCCTTTGTGCTCAGGTGCCATTTTCATCCTAGCAGGCTGAGCTCCTGGCCCGCTGCTCCTGCAGGAGCACTTCCTGCTAGGAATAGTTCAGGTGGAGCCTGGCCAGCCTTTTCCATCAGCATAAATGGTGGAACAGGACCGTAGTGTGTCTGCCTGGGCCAAACACATCACTCTCAGCGCTGTCCACGCATGGGGAGGACCCACGTGAAGGGTCTGTAGGTGGGATGGAGCTTGGTGCCTGCTCCCTATGGACCAGCCCTGCGAAAGCTTCACCCAGGGCCTCTCCCAGCCCGTTGCCGTCTCCCGTGTGTCCGTTGCTGCTGTGTTTTACCGGCCGGGGCTGGCGCTGACGATGCTGCCGCTTAGGAAGCCTCAGCGTGAGGCGGCGGCGGCGGCGGGAGCCCCGGGGCTGGGGCAGGATGGGGTGCGATGTGCGCTGCGTGCGCCGGCTCCCCCCGGCCCCGTGTGCGCCCGCTGACAGCCCCGGTGCGGCTCCGCTCCCGCTCCCTGCCCCGCTGCCGCCGCTGCCGCCGCCTCCCTTCGCTGTCACCCTGATTGACAGCTCCCGCCCGGCCGCTCAGCCAATGGCGGCTTCTCCCAGTCTCCATCCTTGCGGCTGATTGGCTGCCTGCTCGCTCCCCCCCCAATAGCGGCGCGGGGCGGGGCCGTGTCCGGGCGGCTGGGGGCGTGGCCGCCGCCGTGGCCGCGGCATGGAGGAGCGCTGAGGCGCCGCGGAGCCGCCATGGCCAAGAGCCGCGGGCCCGGCTCGCCCGGCGGCCGCCACCACAGCCTGGCCGGGACCCGCGAGAGCCTGGCCGAGCCCGGCGCCGACGAGCTCAGCTCCCTGGGCTCCGACTCCGAGGTCAACGGCGGCGGCCCCGAGGAGCGGCGCGTCGACAAGTTCGGCTTCATCGTGGGCAGCCGCAGCGCCGAGGGGCCGTGAGTCGGGCCGGGCCGGGCCGGGCCGGGCGGGCCGCGCGTCAACGGGCGCTCGGTGGAGCGGCTGCCGGCACCCGCAGGGCCGCGCCGCGGGGCTGGGCCGCAGCCGGGAGCGTCCCCCGGGGCCTGTCCCCGGCTCCCCGCAGAGCCCGGCCCCGCGCCCCGGAAGAGCGGCAGCGCCCGGGGCGGGGCGCGGGGCCTCCAGGGGGGCAGCGCCGCGGGAATGGGGCGGGGGGGGGGGGTCCGGGACCCGCGGCGGGGGGCAGAGCTCGGCCGTGCCCCGGGGGCGCCCGCGGTGCAGGCCGGGGCTGAACCTGAGCCCGCAGCGGTGGTGCGGTCTCTCCTCGGGGTCGGTAACGGGGGGGAAGAGCCGGGAAGCGCCGTGGATCCAACCTCGGGGATCCGGTGCCTCTGGGCCCCTTCTCCTCCGAGCGCCGGATTCCAGCGGGGAAACGGGGGCGGCCGGGGCCGTTGTTGGGCCTCCTGCGGGGGCAGGCGGCAGCGGGGAAGCCCTGGGAGGGAGCCGGGCAGCCCGAGCCGGGGCCGGGAGCAGCCCAGGGCGGTGCTGGCAGCAGGAATGTGCTCGGGGCTGGTTCGGCAGCGTGTTTGTGCGGTGCCTGGCGCGCTTCGCAGCGACGCCCTGGGCAGCGCAAGGCCTGCGGTGGCTGGATGTGACCCGGGTGGTCCGCGCGCTCTGCGGCCCGGGCCTCAGTTTCCCCTCGCACACGGAGCAAAGCGTTTGCCCCTCGGGTGTTACGGGGCCAGACCCTGGGGACAGAAGGCACCGGGGGGCTCGCTGCTGGTGCTGGACAAGGTGCATCGCGCTGGGGGATGACCCCTGGCCCTGCTCATGGCTCAGCACCATAGCAGCGGGGTGGCTTCTGCTGCTGCACCCCATCCCGGCAGCACTTCACGTGTCCCTGGGGACGCCCTGGTCCCTGCAGCTTCACCTGCTGGAGCTCCTGGTGTTGGAGGCAAGGGGTTGCTCTGGGCTGCTCTGAGCGTGGTGGCTGCAGTCGCTGGGGCCTGAGCCTTCCTCCTGTGCCCCATGGATGCGCTGAGGTCCAATCCTGCCCTTCTCCAGGGCTCTTATCCGCTCTCCATCTGTCCAGGAGTGGATAAGCAGGAGTTCAGAGTCTCCCTCTGCCTTGGCAGAGCTGGCTTCTCTCTGACCGGAAGGGTCTTGGGGAAGCATAGGGAGGGCAAGTGGGAGGTCCCAGCACCCACGGAGGGTCTGGGGGCACCGGGAAGGGCCAAGCTGTGGGGCTGTCACACGCAGAGGAGCATTCTTCTTGCACAGGGCATCTCGTGTGGGTGCCCCCACCCCGTCCTCCCCGCCTGGGCCATATGAAGTGCCTCTGGTGCCCATCTGTGCCCGCTGCCAGCAGCTGGTAATAGCTTCCACTCGGGGCTGGCCCAGCTCCAGCAGGCCCAGGGCCAGCACTCCCACGCTTCCCACGCCTCAAGAGCCCCGGCGCGGGGCCAGCGCCCTCCATCCCCTGTGCTGGATCCCTTTGGATCCTGGCTCCAGAGGGTGGGATGCAGCAGAGGAGCTGGGCAGGGGGCTGCCAGTTGGATGCGGCCCTGGGCTTCCCGCATTCCGGGAGAGGACAGGGCCTGGGTGTCCTGTGCTCCATGGAGGATGCTCAGCACCGGGCTGTGGTCCTTGGGTCCTCAGGAAGGATTTGATGTGGCTGTGGGCAGTGCTGAGCCTGCTGGGGTTGGCTCTGATGGCTTGAGGAGCTTCTGCTGTCCCTGGGGTGTCCCTGCCCAGGGCCTGGCTGAGCTCTCTGTCACCCATCTCCTTGATGGTGGAAGGCAGAGGATGCCCGGGGGGGTTGAAGGCGTCGCAGCAGCATCCCTCCTGCCTCGGGAGGGTTAACTCCCGTTCCTGGCTCGGCTGAGCCGTGCTGGAAAACTCTCCCCTCCCTCCTGGGGGACCCTCAGCTCTGCCGGGCTCGGTGCCGGGCCTGGAGCAGCGCCAGGCTTGGAGCTCGAGCATGACATGATGCTTATGGCCACAGCTTTCCCTGCCTGCAGCCAGCGCTCAGCTCCACAGATGGCTCTGGATGTGCTTCCCAGTTCCTTACCTTCCTGATGTGCCCTTCTCCTGGGCACAGCTCCCCAGGGGTGCTCGGGCACGCAGTGGGTGCAGTGCAGGGTGATCTGGAGGGGTCTGGAGCTGGTTCTGTGCTGGCACTGTGGAGTCATGGGTGCTGAGTGCTTCCAGCTCAAGTGTGTCCTGGCTGGGCTCTGTGCGGGGTGAGGACACAGGACGCAAGGTGCTGGAGAGTACCTGGGGGGCCCTGCACTGATGGCCTCTTCCCCCCTCCCACAGGCTGGAGGAGGTGCCCTTAGAGGTGCTGCGGCAGCGGGAGTCCAAGTGGCTGGATATGCTCAACAACTGGGACAAGTGGATGGCCAAAAAACACAAGAAGGTGAGTGGGTGACAGCCACGTCCTCTGGGGCTGCCCCAGCACAGGAGGAGGGACAGCCATGCCCCCCGAGGCAGCCAGCACCCTGTGTCCTGTGTCCCATTCCTGGAGGGGAATGCTGGCTTGTGGAAACTTCTGTTTTGAGCATCTCATAGACACAAAGACTCCGGGTAGGAAATGTTTGAGGCTGGTGTGTGTGATGCTGGTCTGCAGGCTGGGGTCCCAGGGAGACCCGTGGTGCCGTGTGCTGGCTGGCTGCTTCCTGACCTGAGCCTGTGAACCAGGGATAGGATGGGATCGGATGGGACAGGATGCAGAAGTCCTATG